CCATTGCCTTGGCATTGCAACTACACTTCAAAATACCTCTTACATGTGATGAACACTTGGTTCATCTTCTCAGCCACATAGAGGTTGGTATATCCTGCATGCTGTTAGGGAGAGAATGCCAGGATTCTGACCCAATAGCAGTGAAGGAATAGCGGTATAATTCCAAGCCAGGCTGGTTGAGGGTCTGGGAGGGGAACTTGCAGAGGGGTGGGGGCCGGGTGTTCCAACGTAGCTGCTGCTCAACACTTCCCTGCCTTTTACACCCCCCGTCCTCCCATCCCCAAGACCCCATACTCCTCTGCAAATCAGAAATCTGTCAATCTCGACCTTAAATAGACTCAAAGCCTGAGGCTCCACATCTCTCTGAGGTAGACATTGGCGAAGGTTCACAACCTTCTGAGTGAACACATTTCTCCTCAGCTTAGACCTTCTTGCAATTGCCCTTGTATTGAAAATGGTGCACCCCTGGTTTTAGACTCTCCACCCATCCACCCTGTCCATTCCTTTAAGTACGCTGTAGGTTTTAATGAGATCATTCTTTAAAACTCCTGAGAATATAGGCTCAATCTCTCTCCATTGGACAGTCCGACCGTCTTGGGAATGAGTCTGGAACCATTGCTGTACTGTCTCCATGGCAACAATATCCTTGCTGAGGTGTGGAGACCAACACTGCAGACCAGCTCCTGGTCCAGGCCAACCAAGCTCCTTTACAATTGGAGCAGGACTTTGCTGTTCCTGTACTCAAGCCCTCTTGGGATAAAGGCTAACATTCAACTCACCTTGCTCACTGCCTGGTGCACCTGCATGCTCACCTTCAGCAACTCGGCAAGGACACCCAGGCCCCTTTGTACATCGACACTTTGCAACCCCTTACATAAAAACTAGGAGCAGGAGGAGGCCATTCAGCCCTTCAAGCCTATTCTACCATTTGATACAACCAGGGCTGATCTCATCTTGGCCTCAATTCCACTTTCCTGCCCCTTCTCCATAGCCCTCTACTCAGTGTTCACCGGGAAAAGAGAGCCAAGAAACTTATATAAGCAAAGGGAGAATACAATATGCATGCGATCTAGCAACAAAAAAACAACAAAAATGGACAATAAAAGCTTCTATAGGTGCATGAAAAGGAAACATTTGATCAAAATGATTGTACGTTGATGGTGAGCAGAGTTAAGAGAATTTATAATTAGCTTTAGAGAGAAGTTAAATGTTTATTTCATATCTGTTTTATCTGTTTTATCCCTCTTTTATCTGGGATAGTGAATTCCACGGATTCACAAGAGAGGTAATTCCTCCTCATCTCTAAGTCTGCCTTATCGCAAAACTATCACCTCTTCTTCTGGATTGCCCCACAAAGGGAAACACCCTCTAAGTCCACTTTGTCAAGCCCCTTTAGCATCTTACCTACCTCATTTATGGAACAGCCAAGTGATAGAAAGGAGGGGGAGAAACAAAGGGGAAGTTAGCATTTAAGAAAAACTCTGCACATCTGTGACTCCTACCAGAGTGGAGAACCTCATATTTTTGCACATTATGTTCCATCAGCCAAATTCTTATCCATTCAATAAGCCTATTCAACACCCCCCCAACCTGAAACAGTTTTACATATTCCTCACAATACATAATCCCTTTGTATTATCTGCAAATTTGGAAATATCACATTTGGAACCCAATACCAAATCATTGATATATATTGTGAACAGCTGGGGCCTCAAATACTGATCTTTATGGTATCCACAAGTTATAGCCACACAAGTTGAGAATAACCAATTTATTCCTACTCTCTGTTTTCGATGTCCGTCAGTCATTAATCCATGTCTCCTATCACATATGCTTTAATTTTTCTAAGCAGCCTCCTGTGGGGAACTTTACGAAAATTCTTCTGAAAATTTGAGTATTCTTATGTCCGTCAGTTGTCATTCGTCAATGTTGTTCACAGCACCTTCAAAAAGCTCCAAGTCTGTCAAACACAGTTTTCCATTTGCAAATCCATGTTGACTGTGCCCAATCAGATCATTATTATCCAAGTTCCTGCTTATCACATCCGTTATAATAGATTCTGACATTTTCCTACTACTGATGCAAGGCCAACAGGTCTCTGACACCCTGTTTTTTCTCACTCCCTTTTTAAATAATGGGGTGACATTGGCTGTTTTCTCACCTGCAGGGATTATTCCATAATCTATAATATTTTGGAAGATAATCACCAATGCATCAACCATTTCCATGGGCACCATCTTCAAACTCTGGGATGTGGAATATCAAGTCCTGGCAATTTATCAACTTCAGCCCCATTAATCCCTCTGGTCATAACGGACTTGCTAACACTGATCTTCTACTCTTCATTCTCCCTAGTCACTTATATCTCTAATTTTGGGAGATTTCTCATATCTTCCTCAGTGAAAACAGCTACGAAATAATCATTTAACTTCTCTCTAATGCTAATTATAAATTCTTTTAACTCTGCTCACCATCAACGTACAATCATTTTGGTCGAATGTTTCCTTTTCATGCACCTATAGAAGCTTTTATTGTCCATTTTTGTTGTTTTTTTGTTGCTAGATCGTATGCATATTGTACTCTCCCCTTGCTTATATAAGTTTCTTGGCCTTCTTTTGCTGTATTCTAAAAACCTCCCAATCCTCAGATTTATTACTAGTTCTGGCAACTTTATAGACCTCTAATTCTTATGCAGTTCTGAACTTCCTTTGTTAACTGTAATTGGCTGACCTATTTTGGACTTTGAAGAAATGTATTGTTGCTGTAAATCATGTGATAGTGTTCCTTTAAAACTGTCCATTGCCCATGTACAGTCATGTCTTTAAATGTATTTCCGAATCCACCTCAGCCTGGGGCTTAGTTCTTCATAATTTCCCTTTTTCAAATTTAACACACGCACGGAAATGTAACTGTTTTGTTTAACATGAAGCAGTGAGTCGATGATTTTCAAATCATGACCTTTGTGAGATGCAAATTCCTGACTGTCACTGAATTCACCTGCTCACAGCTTCATAACCAACGCACCATCATCAGTATCACTCAATCATTGTATCAGCACAGCAAGATCCCACTTATAGTTGCTTATAGTCCTAAAAAGCTGTTTAGCTTCTGAAATGTCTATGAGTGCATCACCAGCACATGGACATTGAGAGAATTGTGATAGTCACCTTGTCCCGGTGCCCTCAGTGAATACAAATTATACCCCAGTGCTCAGAATAGAAAAAAATCTCTACATTCTCCAGTTTGAATCTACAGGAGGCAGTGTTCACTGGCCAGGAGTGTGGTCGGTGCTATCGATGTTCTATGCTCAGGATTAGAAAGGAATCAATGATGTTAGCTCTAAGTTCGCATCCCTGACCATAATCCAGTGACTCCGACTTTTGTATTTATTTCTTCAAAGAACATGGGTGTCTCTGGCTGGGCCCAGCATTTATTGCCCGTCCCTAGTTGCCCCTTGAGAAGGTGGCAGTGAGCTGCCTTCTTGAACCGCTGCAGTCCTCCTGCTGTGGGCTGACCCGCAATGCCATTAGGGTTGCCACAATGCCAACTTATATTAGGGAGGGAACTCGAGGAATTGGACCCAGCGACAGTGAAGGAACAGCGATATATTTCCAGGTCAGGATGGTGAGTGGCTTGGAGGAGAACTTGCAGGGTGTAGTGTTCCCATGTATCTGCTGCCCTTGTCCTTCTAGATGGAAGTGGTTGTGGGTTTGGAAGGTGCTGCCTGAGGATCTTTGGTGAATTTCTGCAGTGCATCTTGTAGATAGTACACACTGCTGCTACTGAGCGTCGGTGGTGGAGGGAGTGGATGTTTAAAATGATTTTTGTTTTATTCTTTCATGGGATTTGAATGTTGTTGGCAAGGCCAACACTTAGTGCCCATCCTGGAGAAAGTGGTAATGAGCTGCCTCTTGAACCACTGCAGATGTGGTACCAATCAAGCGGGGGCTGCTTTGTCCTGGATGGTGTCAAGCTTCTTGAGTGTTGTTGGGGCTGCCCCCATCCAGGCAAGTGGGGAGTATTCCATCACACTCCTGACTTGTGCCTTGTAGATGGTGGACAGGATTTGGGGAGTCAGGAGGTGAGTTACTCACTGCAGTATTCCCAGCTTCTGACCTGCTCTTATAGCCGCTGTGTTAATGTGGTGAGTCCAGTTGAGTTTCTGGTCAATGGTAATCCCCAGGATGTTGATAGTGGGAGATTCAGTGATGGTAACACCATTGAATGTCAGGGGCGGTGGTTAGATTGTCTCTTATTGGTGATGGTCATAGCCTGGCATTTGTGTGGCCCACATGTCAGCCCAAGCCTGGATATTGCCCAGATCTTGTTGCATGTGAACATGGACTGTTTCAGTATCTGAGGAGTCACGAATGGTGCTGAACATTTTGCAATCATCGACAAACATCCCCAATTCTGACTTTATGATGGAGGGAAGTCATTGATGAAGCAGCTGACGACGGTTGGGCCTTGGACACTACCCTGAGGAACTCCTGGAGGGATGTCCTGGAGCTGAGATGATTGACCTCCCACAACCACAACCATCTTCCTATGTGCTGTTAGAGAGTGAATGTGAGATTGTGTGTCTGGGTGTGTGTGAGTGTAAATGTGTGTGTGTGTGTCTGCCTGGGTGTGTGAGTGTGACAGTTCTACTCCCACACATTAACCCCACCCCTCCAGCAGAGGAAGTGAAGGAATAGTTAGCACTCCGAGTGGAATCAGGGTGATGAAGGGGAATTAGAAACAGACTCTGTGAATCCTGATTAATGAAACCACTTTCAAAACAAATCCTCCTGAAGCAGCTGGTTACTTTAGATTGAGGTTAAGAAAGATAGCCGTGCGTTGGGGAGGGAGATTGCGTTGATGGTGTAGCTAAGCTGTTTCACCTTTATAACCAGGTTTAGGAGAGCACACTGACAGCACGCTGCAGTCTGATGGCCAGTTAAGCTCGGCTCAGTCCAGGCTCAGGGAGAACTAACAGCCTCCGGTTTCCCTGAACGTCGATGGGTTTCTCTAACGCCCCCATTAGTGTGCCCAATGTGACCATCAGTGCATTCGATGGTCCTCAGTGGCTGCACATTGCCCCGAGGGGCACCTACATTGCCGTGGCCACTCTGATGGGCACTGTGGTCATCCTAGCCTCCTTCATGAATGGGATGGTCATCCTAGTGTCGGTCAGATACAAGAGGCTCCGATCTCCCCTCAACTACATCCTGGTGAACCTGGCTGTGGCAGACCTGATGGTCACTTTCTTTGGCAGTACCATCAGTTTTTCCAACAACATCAATGGGTACTTCACTCTGGGACACACCATGTGTCAGTTCGAGGGTTTCATGGTGTCTCTGACAGGTGAGTCTGCCTCCATTTCTCCCCAAGATTCTCCTGAGATTCCGCCTTTCTCCTCCAACCCCCAATCCCACGACCTCTTCCCGAAAATCCCTATGCCCGGGACTCTCCTACAATCAGTACTGGAGGGGGGTAGATTGGTTGTATGGAGTTGGCATGATCCCCATTGTGTTCCAAGAGTGTCAGGAACACAGCTCCTTCATTCTCCCAACCTCACACAGCCCACTTCCCCTCTCCTTCCCAAAATCCACAGACAGGTCTGCCCGGGCAGACCCCATTGTTTCTGCCTGCTCCTGCCCCACAGAATTCATCTGTTCTGACTTCATCTCGATCTTTCCTTCCCTTGCCCAGTTCTCTCCCACTTACATCTGCGAATCCTGTGATGCTTCACATTAGTTTCAGAAATTCCTGTTCACAGGTTGCAGCCACTTCCTCTTTACTATGGACGTGTAATCCCTTTACATGCCCATACCCCACCAGGATGGTCTTAGGGCTGTATGCTTCTTCCTGGATAAAAGGCCTGAATCATTCCCATCAACCACCACCCTCCTCCGCTTGGTCGAGCTCATCCTCACCCTCAACTTCTCTTTTAACTCCTTTCATTTTCTTCAGGTACGAGGGGTTGCCATGGGTACCCTCATGGGTCCCAGTTATGCCTGTCTCTTCACAGGCTACATGGAACATTCCTTGTTCCAGTCCTTTTCCGGCCCCCACCCACAACTCTTTCTCCGATACATCGATGATATCATCGGTGCTGCTTCAATCTCTCGTCTGGAATTGGAAAAGTTCATCAATTTCGCCTCCAATTTCCACCCTGCCCTCACTTTCATCTGGTCTATCTCTGACTCCTCCCTTCCCTTCCTTGACATTTCTGTTTCCATTTCTGGGGATAGACTGGCCACTAATATCCATTACAAACCCACCGACTCCCACAGCTACCTGGACTATACATCCTCACACCCCACTTCCTGTAAAAACTCCATCCCATTCTCTCAGTTCCTCTGTCTCCGTCGCATATGTTCAGATGAGGCCAACTTCAACAAGGGAGCCTCCGAAATGTCCACCTTCTTCCTCAACCGAGGATTCCCCAGCTCCGTTATCGACAGGTCCCTCAACCAGGTCCGACCCATCTCCCACACTTCCACCCTCACCTCTTTTCTTCCCTCCCGCAACAGCGATAGGGTTCCCCTTATCCTTACCTACCTTCCCACCAGCATCCACATCCAGAAGATCATCAGACACCATTTCCACCACCTCTAGCAAGATGCCACAACTAGACACATATTCCCCTCCCCTCCCTTGTCCGCCTTCCACAGGGACCGTTCCCTCCACGACAACCTGGTCTACACTTCCATCACCCCCAATACCTCCCCACAGCCCTATGGCACCTTCCCCTGTAACCAGCGAAGGTGCAACACCTGCCCATTTATCTCCTCCCTCCCCACTATCCAAGGGCCCAAACATACCTTCCAGGTGAAGCAGCACTTTACCTGCATTTCCCACAATCTAGTCTACTGCATTCGCTGCTCACAATGTGGTCTCCTCTACATTGGGGAAATGAAGCATAGACTGGGTGACCACTTCGCAGAACATCTACGTTCTACAAAACAGACCCTGAGCTTCCAGTTGCCTGCCACTTTAAGACATCACCGTGTTCCCTGGCCAACATCTCTGTCTCTGGCTTACTGCAGTGTTCCAGTGAAGCCCAACGCAAGCTGGAGGAACAGCACCTCATTTTCCACTTGGGGACCCTACAGCCCTCTGGACTCAATATTGAGTTCAATAATTTTAGGGCTTGAGGAACCTTCTCCCATGCCCTTTACCCCCAACCCCCACACACCAGGCCTTGTTACCACATGATCTGCTATTACACACATCTCACTGTCAGCCATCAACAGTCTCCATTAGCAGCTGAGATAACAAGGTGTAGAGCTGGATGAACACAGCAGGCCAAGCAGCATCAGAGGAGCAGGAAGGCTGACGTTTC